AAGTTGCCAAAGGAAACTTTTATCCAACCCCCCTCATGAGCATCAACAGCTTGCCTATACCAGGATCTCTTCCTTTTTTTTATTTTTTATTTTTATTTTTTATTTTTGGAACCTCAGATTTGCAAAGCCAAATCTAAACTTCTTTTCTATCCAGGATAGCTCGTCCCCAACCAACTGACAGAAAAAGTGACATGTATACTGCAGTCTGAACTTGTACCAGGTACTGGATTCTGACACGTGCAGATTCAAAAGCTATAAACAGAATGACTCTTGTCTCTAGGCAGGTACCCCCGGGAAAGGGTAAATCTCCCAAAGAAATGCTGTCACATGAGAACCAGACATGTCAAACCATAGAAAAGCCTTTCATGTTAACAGTGCTGATGGAACATGGCAACATTGTTTTGATGTTGTACAAAGAAACCAATGTGTACAAAGAAAGCAAATGTTTCATGTTTCTAGGTTTTGACTCTCTCTCCAAGTAGAACCAGTGTCTGGATGTGCCACACAGAGCAAGAGCTCATGACATCAATCTCCCAAAAGCCCGTATTTGCACCTGCCTTCTGAGTGTTAAGTATCCTGACAGTGTCACCAAGTTCTCATCATCCAGGAAGCTCTCCTTTCTACCTGATCTGTAACGGGTGTCACACTGGTGAGGGACTAAAAGACATGCTTTCCAGTTTGACATTTGACGGTAGTCTGATGCGATGTGTGGTTCCATGTGATTGGAGCGTGTGGCATGAGTGAAGTTTGGGTCATATAGATCAGAGATAAAGGCAGACAGAGAGCAGACAGATCACTCTAGCTGTGTAGACATGTGTGTGGATGGATACATCCAGATAATTTTGTCAATGAGTTGAGTGGACAGACTAAAGTAATGGAATAAAGAGTTATCGATATAGATTTGCTCATATAGTATTTGTCTAGCATGCTTAAAGCACTGGGTTGCCTTCCAGCACAGCATGAAATCGACATGGTGGCACCCGCCTAGAATCCCAGCATTTGGCATGTAGAGCCAAGAGGATCAAGAGTTCAATGGCACAGTCTGCTATTAAGTGAGTTCATGGCCAACCTAGACTAAAGACCAAAAGAATTATAGCTGGGTTTATTGTATAATCCAGTCTAGATATAGAAGGCTAATGAGCTCCTTTCAGAGAATAGTCCTCAAAGTTTGGCTCTTTGTTCATGACTCAGTCTGGTCTGTTTACAACAATCAAGAAGGCAGACACATATACCCATAGGTGGAGTTTATAACTGAAAGTGTTGGGATGGTTCTGATTTCCCTTGTCATGTGCAACCTATCTACTTACTGTAGGCGAGCACAGCTACCACTTAATAAAAAGACATTGACTGTACTCAACAGTGGACCTGGGATCCTACAACACACTAAAATATATGAACACTGGCATTATAATAACAGAACTTGTTACAAAGACTCTCATTTTTTTTTTGGAAGATGCTTGCTGTTACCTTTTATTTCTAAGACTGTCACTTACTTGACATCACGTTATTAAGCCACAAGCCATCTTCCTGATCTTTGGCGGGTCAGGGTTGCCAATGATAAGGGGTACAGAAATGAGTTAGAAAGAACCCCACATGGCATTCACAGATTATAGTTCTGAAACCCTTTGCTTTGTTTTCAACACTTGTCTCCCTAGGAAATCAATTTCATTTTTATCTCTAGTCTCTTGCTGGATGATTTACACAGTTCTTTCAGAGCATACCAGGAGTAACATAAGAAATACTAATTACGAACCTTAAATTCCTGGCTTTTAAATAATTAAAAAAAAACTTGAAGGCATACAGACATAAACAAGTCTGTCTTCCTAATCTCCACAGTTCAGGGAAATACACACAATATAAATCTTTAAATGCAAAGCAAGATCTGTTTTAGAAACAGATACATAAGGGAAATTAACTTTTGTAGACCTCAAATGCCGGAAATAAGCTTTTGATCCCTGAGGGCAAACATTTTTGAGCTATGCTTCACCATATAATTACTATCGTTTTCTTAGTTAAACTCTCCCAGTCCCTGCTGGATGGTTTTCTATATAAACTTACTTTTATTTCTAATTACATCATTATAGAGATGAGAATCGGGTCTAATTAAATAAAAACATGAAAATAATTGTCATTCTCTTATCTGCTACCTTTGAAAGATGTCTCTTTAAAAAGAAATGTGCCCTGTCCATGGATTGAATAGACGTAAAGGGCACTTACACATCCTCACCTTGCATCACCATTCCCAGATGCTGGTTTCCGTCAGTCTTTTCTTTTGTCTCAAATACATATATTCAACACCTACTCTGTTAATCAACTATCACACACAGGTACTATGGATATGCAAATGGACTAATTACAGGTCTCCTCTGAAAATAAATGAGCCAGAACTAATCCCTCAGTAGAAGATGCGCCATACAAGTATGTGAAGATCAGGAAGCCTTTCCGTTATGATCACTCACGGAGCAGAGAACCCGCAGAAAGATTCTCATACGCTATTATATTATTTCTTTTCATAAGACTCAAGAAGCCCCGAGATTGCACTGAAGAAGGACTATGTCACTTCCTATTCATCCCAAATAGCGTAAGTAGGTTCATCAGGCCATGCATTCTGTGCACAGGAAGTCTTCCTGGCACGTGCTGGCACCGTAGCAGCAAATATAGAGAAAGAGGTAATGAACTCTAAAGGTTTGGATCTGCAGTAAGGAAAGACGAAAACGAAGATGTTTCAGATGTTTCTAAGGAGTCTGACCATGAAATAGAAGGTAAGATATACGGAGAGTGTGAGTACCTGCGTGTATGTGTGTGTACGTGGGCATAATGTGTGTGGTGTGTGTGTACATGGGCAGGTATGTGTGTGTATGCATGTGTGTGTGATCATGCACAGATTGTTTATACATGTACAGTTGTATGTGTATGTACACATATACACAGGTGTGTGTATGTATGTGTGTGTACAAATACGTGTAGGTGTGTGTATGAATATTCACTGGTGTGCCTGTATATGCGAATGTACATGCATAGACATGTGTATGAGGAGTGTGAACATTCACAGATGTGTGTGTTTGTGTGATCATGGATGCGTGTGTGTGCATGCACAGGTATTTGAGTGTGAACATTCCCAGGCATGTGCAGATGTATACACAGGCATAGGCATGTTAGTATACACGAACAGGTATATGTGTGTATGCTTAAGTGTGAGTGAGCATGTCAGCATGCATGTGTTCATGCATGCGCTTGTCTTTGAAGTTCATGTGTCTACACGTATGTGTGTGCCTGCATGCTTGTATGTTTGTATACACACACACGCCTCTGTATGTTCTTGTGGACTTACAGAGACATCTGATATCCTGTTAAAAACATTTTCTCCCCATGTCACACTGTTGGAAACAAACTGCTCTGCTTCTGAGATGCAAGTAGGGAGATACTTAATTCTTAGGAGCGAACTATTGACCTCGGAACTAAAGGATGCTGTCTTGGAAAGAAAACACCGAAGGGCACAGAGATGATAGCAAAGCACAAACACCATACCTAGAAAGGAAGAAATCAGGAGGAAGAGACAATTCAAGGAAACAAAGATGGGGAACTGGGGGATGGAGGCCAGAGATGGAGTTAAATGTGAGGCCAAGGATAATACCACAGGGGAGACATTTGGCTAGTTTTCAAAACATGCTGACTTGTATACCTCCTGACAAGCTATGCGCTAACGTTTAACACGTACTTATCTTTGCCACTAATCAGCACATATGAATAATGTACACTACTCTGTTGCCAGATGTTGTATAATGAGTATACAGGACCATGACCTCCCTGGCCCAAAATGACTTAATCTGATAGGTCTAACCCTCAGGGTTGGAGAAGGTTTAGGTCAGTGGTCTCCTCATGGCTGCATAGCAGAACCCAATGAATTGAGTGTGCAGTGATAATTACCAGTGTTTTGCCCTTTGAGATGCACATCCAGAAACTCTAAAGCAAAATGAGCTCCCCGGGGGGGAAACATGTTGAACAGATGATTTGGAAAATAGTAGAATCAACTGCACTTCCAATTCTTAAAAATCCCTATATGTTGATATTATCAAGTCCTAATCATTTCTATCCTAAATAATCAGAACACTAAAGGAGTTTTCAGTGGCTTGTAATTGTTTAAATATAAACATAGGCCGGGCGGTGGTGGCGCACGCCTTTAATCCCAGCACTTGGGAGGCAGAGGCAGGTGGATTTCTGAGTTCGAGGCTGGCCTGGTCTACAGAGTGAGTTCCAGGACAGTCAGGGATATACAGAGAAACCCTGACTCGAAAAACCAAATAAATAAATAAATAAATAAATAAATACATAGAAAATGCAGAAAAGAAAACAAATCAAGAACACAATTTGGTCTGATTTAGAATGTTTCAAAGGAACCATTTACCGTCTAAATTCCTCTGATATAATGATTTGATTTGATTGAGGTATGGAATACCTAATAGGTAAATTTGACGATTTGTTAATGAAACCTTCTGTGTATGTATGTCAACAAAGGACACTTAGCCCATTTCCACAATGGGGAAAGGTAAGTTGAATATTTAAATCACGTGCTGAAACACTCATTAATCGTACTTAGTATTCTAAACTTAAAAAATAATTCCAAGTATCAGCAGGTCAAACGGTTGTTTGTATGTATTAGGTACTTCATACTCTCTCTCTACAGTGTATGTTCACTGTTAGTGTGAGCGCATGTGTGTATCTGTGCATGCAGGTGGATTTCTTGATGTGATTCAACCCTTCCACTGTGGCTTCTGGACATTAAATACAGGTCATGTGGCTTGCACACTAAATCTTTTACCCCCAGAGTGATCCTAACAGCCCAAGATATTTATTGGCATTTGAAACACTAACATCAATTTGGAAATTTCTAAGATTTTACCATCCGTGTGTCTGGAGTCCATTTTTATTTCCTAGGGAGAGCAGGACAGGATGCTCCGGAAATGCCTACTGCAAACACATCTCATATCCAGCGGTCTTACCTGAATCACACTGTCCCCAGGACTCATGTCAGTGTAAACGTAGACATCATAGGAGATTTCGGGGAAGGTGGGCGTGTTATCATTTGCATCCATCACTCGGATATTGACCACGACGGGCTCACTTTCTTGCACGCCATCAAATGCTGTTATCTGAGGAGAAACAGGATGCAGTAGAAACACCGCTTAAATACAAGAGCTAAGGAACTACTCTGACAAGCTAATACCTTTTTAACGTGATTTAAAAGTACTGCATTGTCGACAAAACAAATCAGTGAGACGTGAATTACAAATATCGGAAATGTTTTAATGTACTAAGAGAAGCAGTCACTGAGGACCCCATGTGTAGATACAATAACTTTGAAATAATGAGATATGAGAAGGTTTTAGAAGCTTACAGTGGACCAAAGACATTGCTATCACTTAGAAGTCAGCTACATTTTGGTTCTTGGTGGTGCTGTTTTTGAGACAGGATCCCTATCGTTCCAGCAGACGTCAAACTCTATATAGAGGATGACTAGGATCGAGGATGACTCTGAATTTGATCTTCTTATATTCCTGCTTCCATCTTGTAAGTGCCAGGCAGGTATGCCCCCCCCCCACATTTGATTTATGCAGTGATGGAGACTGAACCTAAGACCTCCTGTATGCTGTGGAAAGTACTCCCTCAACTGAGGTATATCCCTAGTCCCAGCTTCTATTCAATGCCTAATGTATAGCTGAAGAATTTTTCCCCATGATTAGAGAATTTGCATATAAGACACCTCTTTCTGAATCGACGGTCTTAGGTTGGTTAAATAACTGAAGGCCCTAGATATGTGATGTAAGATTTATTCTATCAATGTGTAAAATGGTGACGTAATGATTCATCAACATCCACTGATAATTAAGAAGTACTTAACAGGCTTCTGCAGCCCTCTGTAGGCCATCTTGCCTGAATAACTTCTACCATCTACTATATATCTACATTGTAATGGTCATATGAGGCACAGTATAGAAGCTACACTCGCCTACTATATGGGCTCTTTAAGAATTAACTCCTAAGGGAGCCCTGTAACTTGTGCCTTCATACAATCTACTCTTCTCCTTTTCTTCATTTGGAAATAGGGATACAGCCAAACTTGGTTCTATCTCTATGATGCTAAGGACTATGTGTGTTTGGTGCATTTATATCCTCCCATGACATATAGGAACAAACCACCACGCTATTGATCTTCGTTCCTCCTTCAGTGAGTCAAAGCCAAGGTCTTTGTCTCAATATTACCAACATGCTGGTACAGACACTCTCTGGGGCTCCTGGAAGCACTGTTGAATGTCCAACAACATTCATTGTTTCCAGCAATGTATGTCAGCATCACCCTCTGCACATCACCGGATGCTGTCCAGAGGGAGGATCATTGCTAGTTAAGAACCACCTGCCTCAGACAGCAGTGAGCCTGAAAATTCATCCATACCTCAAAAGTTAAAAATAATGTTTTATTTCGTGGGCTTCACTTTATCACTCACTCCTATAGGGTAAAGATTGGAGAAGATGTTTTTCTCCAGGGAGTAAATGTTAATATAGTTTATAAATATAAATTAATAGAAGATTTGTAAAGAGTAAAAGAAAATGAATATATTGATATTTCCTCTTCTTCCTGATATGGCATGTTTTAACCCTCAAATCACTGACCTTGCCAACGTTAATGTCAGATTCAGCTTAGCTGTATATCAGTAACAGACACATATATTAAATATTTTACCAGAAAGGTATAGGTTTGCTGTTCCTCCCTATCCACAGGTTGAAGCAAGGTGAGGTAGCGGGTGATACCGGTGGGTGTCACAGTGAAGACCAAGGTGTAATCATTCAGGAAAAGATGGAGCTCTGGATCTTTAGTCTTTGAAAGAAAAAGACATCATTTAAAAAAAGGATTAACACACAATGAATTTTTAGTCTATTGTCTGAAACTTAAGCTTTGAAATTTAGTACAAAGTACTTGTCACTATATGAAACATCCTTAAAGAAAGAGACATTCAAGCGGCATGTAATGACAAGCAACCAAAGCCATCCATGTTAGCACAATTAAGGGGTAAAGCGAGAGACAACAGGAGGGAAGAGCAGGAAACAAGCTAATTGAATGTACTTCTCTCGGTCATTTAATATCAAATTTCTTATGCTTTATTGGATTCGAAATGTGAGAAAAAATAAGAAGGAAAATGGGAGCCTAGAATCTCTGCTGTAAAATCTCACAGTCACTTCATTTGTTGTAATAAACTGAATGTATGCACAGTACTCTATGCCTCTCACTTTTAATGTAAAACAGGAATAAAATTGGTGATGAATTATTCATTACCCATAAATATTAGGCCTGCTTTTTCCAGCTTCATTTAAATACTGTAAAGTTCTTCAAAGAAAAACACAATATTCTAATTAAAACATTTCAGATGATTTGCTAGGACATATATATAAACTTAACACTCGTCCCTGTCAAAGAGCCCAGGGAAAATTGTACTATAGGGGACATTTTTTTTTTAATCCAGAATGAAGATAGTTAACATAGCACTGAAAAAAATCTTCCCAGTTTTGCTTATCCTCCTCTCAATGGTAAGACATTATTCCCCGCTGTTTGGAGAAGGGACTGGTAAGGAACTTGGGTTGCTGCTTTTCACAGTGAACTGGAAAGAATACAGGCAGCTGGGGGAGAATCCAAAGGGACCTGGAGAATCCACTGCTCTGCCCACTTATGAAAATGGGTGATATGGGAGATGAATATGTTTACAGAATGCCACTCCCTTTAAAATACTGTCAGTATGATAGGAAACATGTCTTAAGAACACTTTTCTACGTCCTTTATTAAATATTGATCACAGAGGATGGGGCAAGGGATTATCCAGTGTAATTTAGGGAAAGGTAAGAGCTTGTATTTTAAGTTTTCTACGTAGAAAGAGAAAAATAACTACCACCTGAAAGTGCACACACTTTGAATAGAACACGCTTTCTTCAGTAGATGTTTTTCCCCCTGTATAGTGATGTGTATCTCCAATACTTTTGAAATGAATGCTATTCATTTGATATTGCACCACTGTGTGTCTTCAGGTTTGTCTGTGTTCACTTTTGACACACCAAAGAGGGCATAGGATCTCACTGCAGATGGTTGTGAGCTATTAGGTAGCTGCTGGGAATTGAACTCAGGACCTCTGGAAGAGCAGTCAGTGCTTTTAACCGCTGAGCCATCTCTCCAGCCTTCTCAGATCAGTTTTCTATTTTCATTTCAGAACAATAAAGTGGGAGTACTATGGAGACTGGCTTTCTTTGTCTATTGATTTTTAAATAATCAAATCTATTAAACCATACAAGCCATGGCCCTATACTCTGATGTCTCTAAAGGGGTCTTCTAGCTGACTACATTTTAGTATTTTGAGCACAGTTATTGGCATGTCTAGAATGTAGGTTACATCGACTGAAGAACTATATTAATTTAAAAAAAATGATTCATAAAAAACTTGGATCCACATTCTTGAGAATTCTTTTCTCAGACAGCGCTACCAATTTTGGTGAAGTTCAGTGATTAATTTAAAGGGGACGAAAAACACTGAGCTTAGTTTCACAAATGAGTGAATGTCCGTCACTTTTCCAGTGTCTCATTTTAATGTTATCGAGTTGCAATATTTCAAGATGAACATTATTTCCTGTTCTCTAGGTATGTTACCAATATTGCCTCCTGACATGCTTCACGTATGACTGCAGGCTCCTATGGCGCAGGTGTGTGACCTTTGACACAATGTTTGTGTAATAGCTATGTACTTCTTCCCTTTGGTTCCTATCTTCCATTAGTCTCTTCTCTCTTTGGACTTAGACTTTTCTTCCATCCACTCTCTTCCATTAACTGTCGATTTGGAAGGTACAGTCATTCTTGTATTCACGTGTCAGCACAGTGATAATACATTTCCAGGAATATTAACTTGTCACCCTTGGTGTGCTTATGTGGCTTTGGTAAAAATAGAATTCATTCCAAAAGGTAGCATTTTCTTTGGCTCATTGTATGAGGATGCAATGATTTTCCTTGTCAGATGCTACTCATCTGAAATCAGCACACACCTCTCCATAGACAGTAACATGAGATTCTGATCATCTCTGTGTATCAGTGTCTTGAGTCTTTAACTAGAAACTAACCCTAGATGAATACAGCATCTCATAGAACCGGCTATTACCGCCTTACATGGACCTATAACGTCACAGGGGCACACTTCCATTCACATTGCCTGTTTCTCAGTTACTCTCTTACTAAAATAGAGTTTCCTTAATATTTATGTTTATTTACAACAGGAATCTTTTATATCTCTATAAAAGGTGTGTAAATACTATGGCTAAATACATTTAGAAACAAACATTTAGGGCAGATTTGGAAATACTGAGCAAATTGTCACTTACCCAGTAACATTTTCGGTTGATTTTAAGGTGAATGCTGAATTATAAAATAAGTTATGTTTTTGATATCTTGAATAAAAATGTCATATGATTTCAGTTACAGGTTTTGGTGTATGTGTGTCAACACAAACAGCATTAATGCTTTAGGAATTTTATAGCTCCTAGCTTCACCTTTCTTGACCAGCAACATTTTTTAATATGCCAAGAAATCATTTCTACTTTAAATCAAATACCCCTTTTCTCATAAAATTCAGACCTTCCTTTGACAATCTGTGCTACGATGTCCCAGTTTGGATTTTATAAGCATTCTTGCATGTTCCTATAGTTAGTTACAGAGTCAAGATCAGGGAATATTTGTGTGTTTGCAATTCCTTGGACTCCATAAGAAGCTAGACTCTTACTTCACAAAGTAAGATGTGAGGACATATTTTCCTACATAGCCAGAAGATTTTATGCATAGACATGATACTCTGACCTTAATTTTCCAAAAGGCTAGTAGAGTTCATATAGCAGGCATGACTTTAAAATGAACTTCAGTTTGTTAAATATAGAGAATTTATTAATAAAAATATTTTCTTCTGTCACACAATATACGATTTATTTTACCCCAAAACACCCTGGCAGTATACACCAAAAAATGATTTATTAGTGTATTGCTTTGTAAACTGCTTGGTATAGGGTAAAATAAACTCCAATTCACTCACAGAAATAGGAAAAAAATCAATACAAAAGCAAATGTATGTACAAAAGTGATTAACAAGTATTTGAATGTAAAATAAAATGTCAAATAAACCTTCATTGTATAGACCTGTGTTCACATGATGGTTCATAAGATTTGAAAACAGACATGTAAATGAATCAAAATGATACCACAGGCATGCAAGATGACATGCATGTTTGCATATGTGCACATAACGCATATCTATATATGTGTCCATATACATGTATGCATAGTCATGTGCATATACGCACATGGCAAAGAATGACAGTAAATGAGAAAATTGAATCTAACTTGTCAGTTTTAATAAATGAGTTGGAGAGTCCTAAAGTACCTAGATCAATACCTACTCCATCTCAAATTTTGAACTTTTTAGGAAAGAAATGCCATGATGAGTTACCAATGTCTGTCGGGGACTAAGAAACCACTACTGTTTAAATAACATTTTAACAGAGTATTTGTTCACTAAATTATCACTTATATTAGTAAGTGATAATAACGTTTTATTGGCAAAGAGAGAGAACTAGAAATGATTCACAGCAAATGGCAACCACAAACCCAACAACCAGGTACCTACAGGAACTCCACCAGGTGGTACCTATATGTGAATTAAACATGAAATAAACATGGTAAACTTAAAGGTCAACATGCCCAACAAATGCTTGCAAATACACAATAACAAAGCAGAGAGATGAAGTACACTTAAACTAACAATATTGTCCATAAGATAGACAATCATTTTCCCTTAGACCTTTGACATAACTATGATAGAATTATATTTTATAACTATCTACTTATAAGTACAAGATACCTTAAAATAGATTAAGTATTGTAAAACATCAACACTCATATATCGAGTTGTTGGTGATTCACCATCCTTAAACAAGCCAATGAATTATATCTGTTGATTCTCACCCTACAGAGAAATTCAACACCCAGCTTTTCCTGCCTCTGCCCCTTGAAGCATGGTGGTCTCAGGTTGTTTGCTGTAACCCTTGAGCACTTCACCTTGTTCTTACAGAAAGAACCATTTAAAAACTACACTGGCAAGAAGACTGTTAAATTATGTTAAGTCAGTGTTTCGTGTATGTGTACACACTGGTCTGTGAAAAGTATAGACTGGTACAAGGGTGTGCTACTTAGTAACTTTTCAGTCTTATAGTGATGCTGAGGATACATTTAAACCCTTGGTCCATATTATGAATGACACAGTAACTCAGCACACTTGGCTCTTGTTTCGTAAAATCTTACCTCACTTTTTCTTGGTAGGAGGAAGAATTCAAATTCAACATCCCTAGGAATAAATACAGGTGGCTGGACCATCGGTGTGTGCCCATAGCCTTGGCTATTTCTGAAGCAGCCCAAAGGGATTTACTCCTGCACTGAGCTCTGGCTTCTCTTGCTTGAGGCCAATCTCTGTTTATATTGGTAGCATCTACTTGAGGTCACTCATTTCTGTAGGTCTTATTAGACCCTGGCCCCTTGCTGACTATTCTCACTAATTATAGCCCCTCTCAGTGTAATATCTTACTGGGTAGTAGAGATTTTGATGGTAATTTGAAGTAACACACACACACACACACACACACACACACACACTATAGAAACTATACATATTTAGTATAGATATTAGAAACTGCTAGCAAAACTAGTTTCTTGTTTAAAAAGATGTTTGGACTACAGGGGCAAAAATGGAGAAGAGCCTGAGGGAAAGGAGGTCCAGTGACAGGCCCAAATTGGGATCCAGCTCAAGGGGTGGCTCCAAGGCCTGACACTATTTCTGATGCTGTTGTGTGCTTACAGACAGAAGCCTAACGGCTGTCCTCTAAGAGACCCAACAAGCAGCTCAAAGAGTCAGACACAGATACAAGTACCCAACCAATGGATAAAAGCCGGGGACCCCTGTTGTCGAATTGGGGAAAAGCTGCAAGAAGCTGAGGAGGAGGGTAACCTCATAGGAAGACCAGCATTCTCAATTGACCTGGACCCCCAAGATCTCTCAGACACTGAGCCACCAACCAGGCAGCATATGCCAAGCACATATACAGCAGAGGACCAGCTGGCCTGGCCTCAGTTAGAGACGATGCACCTAACCCCTGAGAGACTTGAGGCTTCAGGTAGTAGGGAGGTCTGGTGGGGTGGGGTTGGGGGATGGGGATATCCTTTTGGAGACTAGGTAGGAAGTGTGGGATGACAGACAGTTAGAGGGCAGACCTGGAGGAAGATAATGACTGGACTGTAAAAAACAGATTACAGAATAAAAAGTAAAAAATAAAAATAAAGATATTTAGAAGAAAAGAACCAGATGATTTAGACAGACAATATCTATCTTCAAACATATTAATATCTGTTTTGTGATTTTTTTTGTTCCCATAAATGCACATAAGTTCCCAACAGGGCTGCCTTGTCTTGCTTCAGTAGGAGAGGATGCACCTAACCCTGCAGAGACTTGATGTGCCAGGGTGGGGGATATCCAGGGCAGGTTGCTGCCCCCCTCTTAGAGGAGAAGGGGAATGGAGATGGGGGAAGGACTCTGTGAGAGGGGCTGGGAGGGACCCAGCATTTAGGATGTAAATAAATAAATAAATAAGTAAATCAATACATTTTTTTAAAGTAGAAGAAACAAAGAAGGACCAAGAATCTAGACAAGGGTCAGAAGGCAAGTGTAAAGACAAAGAGAGCAGAAGAGAACACTTAGGAGGAAGAGGTGTATGGAGGGAGGTGGGGGCACAGGAGTCTCCAAGGAACCTGCGTGTGTTTTCTTGTGACAGCAGTGACAAACCTCTGGTGCAATGAAAAATTTTAAGGACATTCTAGAGCAGTGCAGTCCATTTAGCCAAAAAAAAAAATGTGATGTTTATATTTGTCAATTAAAATTTTGAAAAATTAAAGCCAAGTGTTGTAGTATAGGCCTGTCATCCAGGGCTTGTGACATAGAGATGGAGGAATGGAGGGATAGAGAGCTCAAAGTGGATTAGGGAATCAGGACAGCTCTGGGGCCTCATACTTCCTCAGGACTATGCTGCGCTCCCGAATTCCACTGGTAGGTAGCATGCTATCGTTGTTAGTATTGTATTAGACTTTTGGCTACCAAGGTGTCACATTCATTTCTGCTATAAAATATGATGTCTTTGCTCTGCCTCTCCCTCCATACATTCCTGGAGGACTTGGGGTTGCCTGTCATAGATTTTCTGTCCAGCCTTCATGTCAAATCTCTGTGGCCAATGGAATAAATCACTCTCATTTTGCCTAGCTGGATGGTTTTCTACTCATAACAACAGGGTCAATACTAGAAGACCAGAGTCAGTTATATGTGACCTGCAGGGATAGAAACCTCACCAGCCACAAGCTGAAGTAAGTCTGGGTCTATAACTTCCAAGGTTCTACTTTAGTAACATGCCACTACAATGGAAGAAAATCCCAAGATGCCAAAGGGGACTGCTTTCAGAAATAGGTTTTATTAAATGATTAATTACTACTTTTTGTTTTTACTTTTTTGGTTGTTTTTATTCATTTGTGTCTGTCTGTGTACATTATATGTGTGTGTATGTGTGTGTGTATGTATGTGTGCCATGTGTGAGTGGTGTGTGTATGTGGAGTGTGTACATGAGTGATGCATGTGTATAGTGTAGAAATACACTTGCTTCTGTGTATGTGTGGTATACATGAACATATACCCGTGTATGGGTATGCAGACACACACACAAAGGACAGAGGTCAAAATCTGGTACCTCTGCTACACCTTATAGCTGGTCTGGAGCTACTTACTGGCTAGACTTTCTTTATGTGGGTACTCAGATTCTGATTTGAGATCTTCACAATTGCCAGGAAGCACCCCCCTCCTTATTCCTGCTTGTATGATTTTATATACACTTTTTGATGCCATTATTTTCCCCCATAATGTATCAGCTTTCAGTTTATATTAACACAAAAGATCACCCCGGTGATTTAGTAAGCACCAAGTGAACAATCCATTGGCTTTCATGGGTCGGACAGCTATACTGAAGAACAGCTATTAAACTAAACATGCCTTTAAAAAAAATGCCCCTGACATAGAATTCAACGATAGCACTAAGATTTACTATGCTGACTTTGTTTTTTTCTTTGCTTTGTACTTTGTATAGCTATTACTTTGTACTTCTTAGGATAAACACAGAAAATAATATCAACAAGTAATTGCAAAGATGGTCATGGAACTCACGTCTTCTATGTCTTTGTCCAGAGCTACAATTCTCAGAGGGGTGGTTAAGTTTAGGCTCTCAGAAATGGTGGCTCCCACTGGGGCGGATTCCAGGATGTATCCTTGATAGCTGGGCATTGTGAAGTATGGACTCTGGTTGTTTTCGTCCAGGATTTCGATGTGGAGACTAGCAAAGGCAGGCAGCGGGTGGCCATTGTCCTGCTCGGCCTGAAAATGAAAGAAAAATTATCTATGATGTCTCCTGGAGTGACACTTTACATGGTATAGGCGTGGTCTTTCTTTACCCTCAGGTCCTTGTAGAGAGACGAACTGCTCTAACAAATGTTGGAAAACAAAAATGAGAAACAGAAGTGGAGAGCCTTTATCATTTAATCTCCTTTCTTAAAATCTAGTTCATTTCAGAAAGATAACCTCAATAGACAATTGCAGAAGAGGAATTTTCTTTTTTTCTTTTCTTTTTCTTTTCTTTTTTTTTTTTTTTTTGGTTTTTTGAGACAGGGTTTCTCTGTGTAGTCCTGTCTGTCCTGGGACTCACTCTGTAGACCAGGCTGGCCTCGAACTCAGAAATCCACCTGCCTCTGCCTCCCAAGTGCTGGGGTTAAAGGCGTGCACCACCACCGCCTGGCGAGGGATTGATACTGTATTGATACACGATTAGAAATACAGAAGGAGAATACAATTGGGTTGAACCTATACATCTTTTTGTCTTTTCAATGTCTTCTTATTCCAAACTGGAGATTCACTGCCTGCCGTGCTATGAATGTGTGTAGATCCAAGGTCGTATATAAAAATCCTAACCCAAAAGCAATAATGTATATAGCTTTGGGGACTAGTGCCTTGATAAAGGTACAGTATCTATCAGTGAGATTTTTGTCCAAAATAAAGAAGACACAAGAGACCATGAAGAGGCTGGTCTGTCATCTCAGCATCGCTAGATAGACTCAGGAGGGTAAGAGGTCGAGGACAGCCTCGACTGTACAGGAAGAACCATCTCCAAACCCAAAGAAACATTCAAAAGCTCTAGAAGAAACCTGGGCTTCTGCCAGCTCATAAGAGCACAGCACAGAAGTGCCAAATAGGAGTGGATGCACCTTTGCCAGAATGGACCTGCCAGAGCCTTGTCCTCAGACTCCAGAGGTCAGATCTGTGAGAGATGCATGTCACTGGCAAGTCACTGGCACTATGCATTTTGTCGTGGCACAGACCCAAGTAATTGTTTTTGCATAAATTAATAGATTAAAGCTGCATTTATCATTCAGAATGGGGCCTGGAAAAAAATCACAGCTACAAGTGAAAGGAAATTTCACCATAATTTTTAACAGTTAAGTCATCTCTAAGGTAATTTATCAGAAATACACTACCCAGTGCACTTGAATAAAACTATACTAATATACGAATGCATATACTTATTTTTCTATTTTTTTCTTTTTGCTTTTTCTGCTTCATATCTGAAGGACATGGAGTAGTAAGAAAGAAGGGAACGCCCTCTGAGCCCATAGACCTGTGGAATCCACTTGACAATTAGCGGGGTCACCGGTCACAGTCACTTGGGATAGCCCTCATATCCCAAACCTAGGCTTCTAAAATAAAATTTCACTTTGTTCTTCTCATTTTACATTTCCACCATCAAATGAGAGGGTGAACAATAGTCCCCACTGACACTGAGCATAGAGTTGATGACTTTGCACCAAGAAAATTCCTAGGATTTGTTACTCTATGAGACTGTTGCTCGCACTTAAGATGAATGTCCTAATTACCAATGTTAAAGCATGATATTGGTAAGTGGACATTATAGAATGCATTGAGAAACTTCTAGGTTTTAACATATCTTGCCATCCCTACTTTGATGTGAGTTTCTTTTGTACTATTGTTTTATGCTCTTATGTCATCACCTAACCGTAGAATGCAAAATAGTCCTCGCTGTAAGGTATTCTGAGCGCCACTCCGAAACAAAGTTGACCCCATAGCTTCTTCACACAGATGTGGGTGGCCCTGACTTCATGAGTTCAGGGGTCACTGTACTCTCAGGGAATGGGATTAATTTGTGTTGAGCCTTGGGCGTTCTAATGGCTTCTGTGATGTCTTATGGAGACGACCAACAAGGAAAGCAGATGCAGCAGCGCCCAATCAGGAAACAGAGCCCCACTACAGAAACAAACACTGCAAACATAGGGTTGCTGCCCAGCGAGCGTCACAGCCTGCTGAAGGCAGGACTGCTCTGTGCCAGGCCTGTGGACACGGAACAGTTTGCACACGTAAGTTGTTGTAGACAGGATTTCTTTCTCTCTGCTGGACTCTTTTTTGTTCTAATAGCCACTAAGAGTGCTGTCCAGAGAGATCGACAGTGGTATGGCAATGCGCAAATTGTATAATCTATTTCCTCTCACCCAACAAACACATACATATTTTTTATGTGTGTGTGTGGGAGGGGATGAGGGAGGCCGCGAAATTGGATGATAATGTAAGAAGCTTGGATGCCGTATCCAGATTGTGTCATTAGTTTTTATTACCAGCTGTGAAGCCGGGAAAACATGTATTATTTGTTTCATGAAAACAAAGTGATTTACTGGGAAGAAAACTAAACTCAAATTAGGTTTTCAGAACAACTGAATTCCTACTTTCCCAATAGCTTTGAAAAACATGAACATTTTAGCAATCACTAGAGAGATGCTGATTTGTTGTAATAATGACTAAATCTTTTGGATACCATTGTATCTTCAGTTCTATTGAAAGCCCCGCAGATCCCTGTCTACTGATCTCTGTCCAAGCCCACTTTTTTTTTTTTTTTTTTTTTTTGTTTTTTCAGACAGGGTTTCTCTGTGGAACCCTGGCTGTCCTGGAACTCACTCGGTAGACCAGGCTGGCCTCGAACTCAGAAATCCACCTGCCTCTGCCTCCCAAGTGCTGGGATTAAAGGCGTGCACCACCACATTTTTATTCTTACTCCCTTTGCTTCTCTAAATATAAAACTAGATATACTTCTGCACTGGGGAAAACTAACAATGTTAATTCATGTTCATTGCTACGTGGTACTTAAGACACAGTCAGGCTGAGCTGAGACGTCTCCAGATACGTGAGAAACCACACAAAGAAATTTACTGGGAGTTCTCTAAATTTACATAACAATAATGAAAGGAAAGTGGATGGGAGAAATTGGTCAGGAGGTAATAGGAAGACAAACACTTCCTATTGAGTTAGATTTAAAATGAAGCACTGAACGGCAACAATGTTACAGTTTGTTCTTTATTGGGCCCAGGTGTTCTGAAAACTCTGACTTCTGCTATTCAGCTGCAATCAGAAAGGATGAGAGGTTGAAGAAAGAGACACAAGTGAAAATGGTAGCATTTAAACCTATTTACTCTCATAAAATAATGCTATTAACATTGACAAGTGTGTGGTTAGTAGAAAAGTGTATTTGGAAGCCACATTTGGGGTGCTGAGGAGAGAGCTCGTTGAGTAAAGTACTTCCTGTTCAAGTGTGAGGAAGAGGCCTGGGTCCCAGCATCCACCTAAACACCTAGGCACAGTGGAGTGCATCTCAAATCTCAGCATGGGGAAAGGGGAAACAGGAGGATGTCCAGAGCTAGCCTTGCTAGTGCTGCCAAATCGGGAAGCTCCAGGTTCAATGAGGGACTTTGGTTCAAAAAGTCTGATGAAGATTGAAAAAAGATATTAAATAATAATCTCTGCTCTCAATATGCACACACACACACATTTATACATATATAAATGATCTTGCACAAGCAACACACACAAATTAAAAACCCATGTTTATTGGTAAAATTTTGGGTATAAGTATCAGTTTTAGAGAAAAGAATGAAGCAAAACTAAAGTTGAAAATGCCCATGGTTTAGCCTCTCACACTTGTTATCTCAAGGACAAACTACTGAAAGCATTCCAGTTGTCAAATTTTGATAAGGAAATAGCTATAAGTTCTGGGTTCCTTGCATCCAAGTACTAGAAATAAAGAATAACTTTTACTTTTCTTTTTTAAGACCTTTTACTTTTGGTCCAGGCTGACTGTGAACTCCGAGAAATCCTTCTGCCTTGGTCAGTAAATGACTGGGGTCACAGACTTGTGGTGTTACAAATGGTTTTCAGACTTTTTCCATGCTGGCTACTGGTGAGTGATTTACAAGCGGATATGTGAAGCATTAAGAGGTTAATATAAAAGAGCATTTGAATACGTTCCATAGAAAGAAAAACAGATCTCTTCCTAGGATGCTAAGGTGTGTTTTTTTTTCTTTTATATTTATTTGGTGTGCGTGCCCAACAAAAATTTTTCTTACAATAATTGGCGAAGTGATAACTCTTTCTATAAAAATATGACTATTTTCATACTTCTAAACTAGTGTTTTTACCTTTATTAAAAATAGAATACAGTTTTATAAAATATATCCTGATTATAGTTTTCCCTCCCTCTATGCCTCCTGGGTCCTCCCTACACTCCTGACTTCTGGATCTGCTTCCCTTTCTGTCTCTCATTGGAAAACAAAGGGCTTCTAAGAAATAATAATAAAATTTATTAAGATAAAAAAATTAGGACAAAACAACCAGACAGGAGGCAAAGAATCCAAGAAACGATAAGAAATGGGTAAGACACAGAAGCCCACTTGCTTGTATGTTCAATTCAGGAATTCCATTAAAAAAAGTAACATAAAACTGGAATCCACAATGTATACACTAAAGACCTGTAGGGTGAGAGAGAGACCTGTAGGGTGACAGAGAGAGAGAGAGAGAGAGAGAGAGAGAGAGAGAGAGAGAGAGAGAGAAACTAACAAGCAAATCTGACATGACATCATGAGATAAGGAACCTACAAAGACGCTATTGGGTTTGTTTTCTCTCAGCTATCTTCTGCTGGCCATGTGGTCTACCCTTAAAAGCAGTTGGTTTTCCCCAGTAAGACACCCTTGGCAAAACTTGGCAATTTTCATTTGCAAGTGATTATCAATTGCAGCTTTCTTCTGGGTTAGGAAATGGGGCATGAGTCCAGTTCTCCTTTCAGCCCTAGCACGCCCTCTTGCTGCAGACACATGCAGACCCTCCGTATTCTGCCTCATTCACTGTGAGCTCATGTGTGCTTCCCCTGTGCTGTGTTTGGAAGGCTCTGTTTCCTGATGTCCTCCAATCCTTACACTTTTTCATTCCCCTCTTCCAGGGAGTTCCCTGAGCTATGAGGGGAGGGGATGATAAAGACATCCCATTT